TGGCGAGGAGAGCTTAGAGTAACGCTTAGTGGCGAGGACTTAGGGTAACGCTTAGTGGCGAGGACTTAGGGTAACGCCTAGTGGCGAGGGCTTAGAGTAACGCCTAGGTAACGCCTAGTGGCAAGATGCTTAGTGGCGAGGGCTCAGAGTGACGTCTAGTGGCGAGGGATTAGGGTAACGCTTAATTGCTAGGACTTAGAATAATGTTTAGTGGCGAGGGCTTAGGGTAACGCTTAGTGGCGAGGACTTAGGGTAACGCTTAGTGGCGAGGACTTAGGGTAATGCTTCGTGGCGAGGGCTTAGGGTAACGCTTAGTGGCGAGGACTTAGGGTAACGCTTAGTTGCGAGGGCTTAGGGCAATGTTTAGTGGTGAGGGCTCCGTGCAGTAAACCAACACCACACTGACACCGTCAGGTATATTAACGAGGAGGAAGATGAAGATAATGAGGTTTACAGTGTAGTGGAGGCACAACCACACCCACTCAGCAGCAGCTTACAGGTCGTTCCCGTGCTGAGGGAGGAGTTTTCCATCGGTGCCAGTGAAGAAACACGGGAGAAACAATCATTCAACTGAACAGAACACAACTCAAACAAAATCCACATACATCCCTAACCCATCAGTTCCTGTCAGTTAAAGGCTGCAGCAAGTGATTTTCTGTTTGTCGTTCCCCACCAACCCCGTCCAGAGACCAGCAGCACCAGTGAACATGGTGTCCTCACCGTAATGTGAGTCCAGACCCTGGTCCAGCTCATCGCTCTGTGTCATAGACCTCCACTGTTGTCCACCAGCTGCTAAACCCCCCACTGAGCCACACCACTGCACTGTGGGGCAGGTTTCCTCCTCAGGAAACAGGGGAGTCCAACACATTTTATAGTTTATTGTAGCTTTCACACACTCGGCGTTGACCTCTGCTTGAACCCACAGCCCTAAAGGTAAGGATGACATTGTTATCCACTGGACCATCTTCACCGGTGACTGTAAACCGGACAGAGAAGGACTTTTATGTTGTGTGTTTAACAAGCTACTGAGTGTGATTACAGACACAGATGTAGCACAACAGGTGTTGTGTATTCAGGATGTCTGCAGCCCAGTTAGATTTTAAATTCAGGTTCAAACCAGACTGGATCTGCAGGGAGCTCACATTCATCCACCTGAAGATTTCAATTCTGACTCACTGAGCCACTGACGTGATCTGAGCCGGTGACTAACTGCGATGCGACCTGCCTGTAGTTCACTGGGCTAAGTTGTTCCCTGTGTGATCACAAAGTTATTGGTTTGAATCCAGGATGAATGGTTTGATGGAAATCACCTCAGTTTGTCCTTTATTTAAAGACAAAATGCCTCAAAAACCTTGAAAAGATTTGCAATAGAAAGGTGTTGCCTTCCAGTGTAAAGGTTTGGTAATTTCACCTGTTGAGAAAATCTTTGTGACAGATGAGAACAGCGAGGGGTGACACACAAACACAGCAGCACCTCCTCTATCCTGATTGGCCCTTTGCTTCTCTCCTCCCTTTTCCTCTTCACCTCCTTGCTTCCTTCATCATGTCAGGAGGACATTTATTGTCTTTTCATCTACTAGTTTCCTCTCCTCCCTCATCTCCTTGCCTCTTCTTTCCTTCATATCACTCTCTTTAACTTCCTGTCAGGTCAACCTGTCCTCTCCAGTCTGGTTTCCTCTGCTTGTCTCTTTATGTTTACTCTCCTTTCCTCCTCTTTTCTCCCCTGTCCTTGGTGTCGTGTCTCTTTCCTTCTTCAGATCACTGACACTTTAACTTCCTGTCAGGAGGATGTCTGTTTAAACAGCTTTCCCAGAATCCCGCTGGGTGTAGGCGGAGGTGCCACGATGTGTGCTGACCTGCTAATCATGTGTACGAAGTGAACCAGTGTGAATCCGTGCACGGTGTGTGTCTGGTGTGTGTGTGCTGGACACTCGCCTGCTGTGTCTCTGCTCATTGATTAGTCCGGACTGACAGATGCATTCACCTCCAGCGGTGCGTTTGATTGGCTGGCCCGTGGAGTGGAGTTTTTATTCACCAGCTCCTCGCCTGGATGTCGGCGTGATGCAGAATCTTCTGCTGCCCCTCACCCCCCACCTGACCTTTGACCCCATTAAAGGAGTGTTTCACACATATTTACATGTTGATTATCTCAACTGGAGGAGGACAGAGTGTGTGATGAGCAAACTGGAGGACAGTGGGTCTCAGCAGACAGGAAGTGCTGTCAGTGTCGTGGCAGCTTGTCCGTGAGACAAGAGGACGATTCTCTCTTCAGTCCTGGAGCTGCACTCAACAGACAGTTTCAGAATAAAGTTAAGCACCGCTGGAGTGCGGGACCCAGCCTGGCTGCAGGGTGTAAACCTGAACATGAGACGTAGTAGCAGCAACATCAGCATCTGGTGCATACTGTGAGACAAACATGTCGCCCAGTGAGCTACAAAGAGCCAGATCATCTGGAAACTGTGCTCCGAGTATCAGCCCCTGTTTGTGGTGATGAAGGTAAACCATTTCCAGAAGAACACACTTTCTTCCTCTTCAACACCTGCTGGGCAACAACACTGACACATTCAACATGAAGCACAGACAAACGGATTGTCAGCTCTATATGTGGCAGGCACAGGTTTGTCTATGACTTGTATGTTTTTATTCTGGTTTCACATAGGAAATATAATAATCACCAGGATTAACAAACTGAGAACATCCCTCAGCTGAAGCCCAGTCCCCGGTCCCCACAGCAAACGTCCAGTAGCACACCATGACCGGTGCCACAGAGCAGCCAAACCACAGACAAAAACTAGAAAATGACAAAGAAAATGAAATCTTTACATCCTTTACATCAAGAACAACAGCTTCATTTATTCAAGCACTTGTGTGCGCTATAGGAGACGTTTCCATATGCAGCTATCTTCTTTAGCTCAGCCACCCATTCCCCACATGGGGGCACCCAGACACCCCCAGGTTCCTGAGAAAAGCTATGGACCGGTCACTGTGGCTGTCAGCACTCACTCTTTAAGTCCTCTGGGGACCCGGCTGGTGCCTCGGAGTCTCCAAGGATGTACAGCACTGGGCAGAAGTCAAATCTGGCGTCTGGCGGTTGGAGTGGAGTCTGAATGACTGTATCCTCACAGCAGCTGTGAGTCTACAGGATGTTACCAGATCTTAACTTTCAATACAGGCTTATTTACTGTCGCTTTACTGCTCACTATGAGATCTCATGACTCATATCCCCTCACTTCTTCATTATTATTATTTTTCATGCCTTTTCTGTTTTGTAATTTTATTTTGTCTCATTTCCTATGTTTGTTTCCGGCTTGATATTCTTCTTGCTCTTTTATTATGAAGTACATTGTAACGTGTTTGGAAAAGTGCTGTATCGATAAATCTGTACTTACTCATTGTAGTGTGTTTGTACACAGCAAAAATGAACTGTGAACACTCAGCTGACATTTAGAAATGAAAACTGAGTGGAATAAGAAAAGAGATCTAAATAGCTGCACTTTTAGTTTCACTTAATCTTTCACTGTAGCTGCTCTGACACACTCAGCAGCGACTAATGTGTTCAGTCAATGTTTGCTCTCTCTCTCTCTGATCTCCATTAAAGGCTGATTAGACTCGAGCTTCTGTCTCTGTTCAAACACCCAAACCTGCTGCTGTTTCCACACATGCACTGATCACTCCCAGTGCTCCCAGTGGTGCATGCTGGGGGACATGGTACTGCATTACATCCTGCAACACCTTGACTCTCCAGGGACCTATGCACAGGCCCACTTTGTGGACTTCAGCTCAGCGTTCAACACCATCATCCTGGACATCCTCCACTCCAAACTGACCCAGCTCACTGTGCCTGCCCCCACCTGTCAGTGGATTACTAGCTTTCTGACAGACAGGGAGCAGCAGGTGAGGCTGGGGAAAACCACATCCGGCACCTGGACAATAAGCACAGGTGCCCCCCAGGGATGTGTGCTCTCCCCTCTGCTGTTTTCACTTTACACAGCATCTCGAAGGACCCCTCTGTTAAACTCCTCAAATTCACAGATGAAACAACAGTTCAAACACCACAACAACCAGACACAAGGACAGTTTCTCCCCCCAGGCCGTCACTGGGATCAACGCTTAACCCATGACTGTAAAACAGTGCGGTACCTGTAAACATAGCTTGCTTTGTATATATCTGTCTGAAAAACTGCATCCAAACCATGTGTATATATGAGTAATTTTCTTTTATTTTCCTAATGCCCATTCCTTTTTCTTGTTTGCACACTGTTTTGTTTTCTCAGTTTTATCTTGTTTACTTGCTGTTTTAGAGAAGGACATCAACACTGATAGCCACTGCATCAGCATCAAATTCCTCATCTGTCCAACGCACCTAAACAATAAAGCTGATTCTGATTCAGACTTTTAGTGGGGGAGGCTGTTGAGCATGTGGCCACAAGCTGGACACAACTGGACATCATGTCCTGAACATAAAGAAATATGTGAGGTGAGATATTTGTGCTGGATGAGGTTTGTCTGTTTTCAAACATCTGCTGCTCTATAATCTCCAGATAATGATGTGTAATCTATAACCAGTGATCTGACTTGCACCTCTAATAGTTCTATCAGTTCTGTTTTAGCTCAGACTCAGGACAGACACAGACATTTGATTGAGTTCTCTCTTTAATTGATAATTACATTGATTATTCAGGTATGCTGCAGCCAGCCGGCTGCTGATTGGTCCGTCCAGTCGCTGAGGTGAAGGCCAAAGGAACTGGGAGGTGTGCAGGCATGAGGTCAGGTGGGGGGAAAAACAGCAACAGGTGGAGAGGTGAGAAACTGAGCACAAGTCAGGTGGGCGGGGCTTAGACTAGTATTCTGGTACCTGGGCGGGGTTTCAACAGGAAGTGAAGCCTTTCCAGTAGAAGTTCTTGCAGCCAGCTTTGCGTTCGCGGGGGGGCAAGTTGTTGTTAGGGGGGTCCACGGACCTCTCCAGGTTCATCCTGCCTCCTGTTGCCAAGGAAACAATCTCAGCTTCATGCTGGGTGTTGGCCTCCGGCAGAGACATCTGGGCCAGCAGGTCCTCCACCGCACGTTTACTCCACTCCTGAAAAATGACAACATGCAGAACAGAACAGAGGCCAGAGCGGGTTTAGACCGGTTCAGACCAGTTTGGGAAATGTCAGAGCACATGGCTGACACACTTAGGCTTTGTCCCGTCTGAATTAGAAAATACTTTGTAGCTGTTCTGGAACGTTCCATCATATCACATGACCTTCCTCAGAGGAGACTGTTGTTGAGTGTCGGCGGCTCTTTTTAATTTATCTAATATTTTTGTAAAAGTTGCTGTCAGTCTTAGACCAAACAGAACGGAAGTGCTCAGATTTCTCAGAACAAAAATCAGAACATCTGCATTTACGTCAGCTGAGCTGCTCTGTTTGCTAAGGAAGACCATGTGGTGGGGTCAAAAGCCATAGAATAGAGAGTGAATGTACCTCATGAAAAGGTCATCAACAGCCCGAATCTGTCTGCAAATATATCTAAATAAAACAGATTAGATCATACACATATAAATATTAGAAACTATGACTTGTTAGATTGAAGAAATGTTCACAGTCTAGTTTATTTGTTTGTGAGGATGCAGCATTTATGGAGCCTGCTGTAGATCAGACAGGAAATCATTTTCTAATCACATGCTCCATACGTCCTGCAGACATGCACCTCTCACCACAGGCCATCCATATCAGCATTTAGTGCTCATTCAAGCTGAAACAAGGACATGAGCTCTGCATCATCGCTGCTGCTGCTCTGCCATCTGCATTCACACACGTAACTCCCTCCACCTCCCCAGCCTCTTCCTGTTTTTAGTATTTAGTTGTATGTGAATTTTGAATGTGTTCATGTTCATTAGATGCTGTGTTCTCTCAGGCTCTGCTGGGGGTTTGTGAACACCAAGTTTGGTCACATCAGCAGCATTAGACTGCCAAAATAACATGTATACTGCTGCACTAAATGTTTGGAAACTTGGTGTGAATGTCCTGACTGAAGTGTTAATGTGTTTACATGGATTTCATACCTGAACAGCACAGCCATGACAATTTAAGAGTGAAGAACAAAAAGATTTAAATGCACACATTCAAGACATCAGAACCAAGATCAAAGATGAACAACAAACTACTGAATGAGAGGTATAATTAACATTTGAACATTTTTAAACAAGGGGTTCAAATGGCAAGGGAGTACCTCAGGGTTCAATTCTGGGTCCTCTCAGTATGAAACTATAAAACTGAACACATTGTGGATGGTGTTGTTTTGCAGCCATTATGAGCTAATATCACAGTTTTCTTTATGCAGTGTTTAAGTCATTGGTATATTTAAATTTTTGAAGCTATTCCAAATCAGGTTTGCTCATATCTGACAGCAATAGAGGTGAATTTTATGATTTATCGGATGTGTTTTCAGACTGTATGTTTCAGTTTGATGTAGGAAATACTTCAGTGATGAAGGCTAACTAGTTGGTTTGTCAGGTGTAAGTCAGATTAACTCCAGAGCACAGGAAACATCCGATCCACGGGACTCAAGGAAACTATGCTTCTATCTATATTTAAGCATGAAAAGATGCTCAAGTAAAGATCTTTTCTGTCACTGTATATACAAACACAGGGACCAGGAGTTTATAGAGTAAAGCAATAGTTCAGTGAAACGTTTTCTGTCTGAGTGTTAGATGTTTGACTGGTTAGCTTAGCTTAGCACAAAGACTGGAAACAGATAGAAACAGGTAGCCTGACCCTGTCTTAAAGTAACAAACCCCACCTCCCGGCACTTTGCTGATTAACATGTTGGACCTTATTTGTTTTTTCTGTACAAAAACCGCAGTGTAAAAATGACCCCTACATGGTTTTCAAGGATTACATGCTGGACTGTGTCTCTGATGGGACCAGTTGCCCATCAAGCCAACGAAGACTTAAACAATACCTGCAAATGCACAAACCTACACAAACACATCTTCAGAATTTCTGAAACCTGGAAGAGATGTGGGGGGTTTGTGACCCTATGGTAACATCAGGGTTGGTAGATGTAAGAGAGAAGCTCAGTGTTTAATGTTCTCTGTTGTGATCTAATTGGTTGTTGGATGTTTCACCTGTGAAAGGAGCCCTGCACTCCGAGCTCTTTGCAGCAGCTGGTGTTGACGTAGCTCCAGGTCCAGGTCCTGGTTCTGGTACTGGTCCTGGTCTCTGTCAGGCTGAGAGGAAACACCACACAGAACAAACACCACGAGAACCAAGATGGTGGGACAACGTACACACTGCATACCTGCCAAGATTTCAGGAGGACAAGAAGAACATGAATATACTCAAGGATGGAAAAGCATCAGGAACAAAGTCAGAAAGAGAGATAAAAAAGTTCCTACTGTCTGCTGGTCCGGTATCTCCTGTTGGTCCTGGTCTCGGTTCTGGGCTTGTCTCTGGTCCAGCTCCTGTGCTGCTGCTCTTTTGAAGACTGAGTCTCCTCCTCCTGCAGGTCACATGATGTGGTGTGCTTGACTGACAGCTGGCGGGCTGTGAGGTGATGAAAGAATGCTGACATTCAAATTAAACAGACGTCCATTAGTCCTTATTAGCTTTAAATGGAGTCTGAACAGTAAAACAATAAAACTATCAGCTGCGGCAGCGTCGTGCAGCCGCCGGCGTTCATCTACAGCAAACACAACGGCAGAATGTCAGGCTGGAGAGGGGAGAAATTAATGGAGCGTTCAGGGGATTAGTAGACTTCATTAGCACTCGCTGATATCTCCATTAAACAAAGAGGCAGCAGCAACAGCAGAGAGTCGCCCACTCAACATTTAAACAGAACAAACAGGACTTAATGCTGTAGAAAAACACTTTATATTGGCTGAAAATGTTCTGCTGCAGAGAGACAGAGTGGAAATGACTTCAGGGAATCCCAGCATCAGTCAGCACAGGAATGACTCAACACAGGGGCCACACAACAGTTCGAGTCAAGCTTCTCTAAGAGCTCTTGGTAAAATGTTGCCAAAGGTCTTCAGTAAAACTTCTAGTAGTATCAGACTGTGAGGTGACTGATGTGTGTTCACCTGCAGATTAGCGCCAGCAGCAGCCCTGCCTCCTCAATCTGCAGCAGCAAATACATGCAACGTGGATTCATTTTTCTGTGACAAGTCACACAACGCTGACACAGAGCGTATCTGTGGGCGGGTTACTGAGTGGTTCTGTTGAGCACAGGCCCAGGGGCCACAGATGTAGGGGCCCTTGGGCCAAAGCCAGTCAGTCAGAAGACTTGAAAGAGAGACAACAACTACAGACAGACACAAAAGGACTTTCACTCCGGGGCTGCTAGTTGCTGCAGAGTTGATGCATTTACCCAGGAATACACCAGCATACCACTGACGGTGAAACTCAGAACCTGTTCAAGACTCACTGGCCGACCTGTCAGAGCAGCACACAGCTCCTTTACACACCAGTCTGTACTGGTGTTTACTGTACTGGGATGGTGCACTTGGGACACTTGGGAGGCTGTGTTTTGTACGGTGATGACATGAGGAAAGTGTCATTAGTGTTGTAACCAGCATATTTGAACTGCGTCAGGATGCAAAGTGAATTTTAGTGTAAAAGCCGGCAGTAAATCATCTCCTCAGTGAGTACAGTTCATAAACAGAGCAGAGCACGCTCTGGTGTTCTGTCTGATCAGAGTAGTAGTAATAATACATTAGCTGAGGCAGGATCAGAAAGAAGAGATTTGAATGTTCGAAAGGATTTTTCTCATCATTTCAGCAGCTGGAATGAATGTGACACCTTCATGGCTTATAATCCTTGTCTGCATGTGTCAGTGTGGGAATAAATGGTCCCGATGACGTGATTTCTTTGACATCTGCCGTTCACAGCACAATTTCCTTTTATCTGTATTTATCACATTTCTGTTCACTTTGCATGTTAATTATTCCAGGAGATTTATATAAAATGCCCTAAAAGAAAGGAAGGGCCGAGGAGGCAGTCACTACATCGAGTGATGGAGTTAATGTGGAAAGTATTTGAAATGAAACGTTGGGTTGTAGCTCGTACGCTCTCCTTGTAGAGTTTACATGAAGTCTGCATTTTATTACAGTATTACAGTTCTGAACAAAACAAAGTACATGCTGGAGTACTGCAACAAACACACTATTTGAAATTATTTATATCAGTGGCTGAGGTGTATTTGTACATTTGTCTTTATGTTTGGATCGTTGGCATCTATGGCTTTAGCACTTGTCTTCATTGCATTAGTTATATTAGGGTTTGTGTGGAACCCTGTTGGATTGTTTCTAGACCAGCTGTAAATGCTTCACCGTTCTGAACTGTAATAAACCTTCCTTCTTTCCCAGTCTGCTGCCACTCTTCTCGGGACAGTGCTGCTTCGTCTCATCAAAGTATTGTGGTGTTAGTAACATTCAGTAACAGATGCCTCATTATGGGACTGTATGATTCAAACATTGGTTTTAAATCAGAGCTGCCGTCTTCACGTCGTCCTGGTGCAGATGTCTCTTCTGTGTGGACACTAACTTCCTGCCACAGACCCCTGCTCTGTTCAGCTTCCTGAGCTTTAGACCATTTTTCCTGTTTTCCTTCTTCTAGAGACTTTACAGGTGTCTGAGATTCATCAGCCTCACGCCTCACAACATCTTCATCATCATTTTCTTCTTCTTCTTTGGATCCTAATAACACAGCAGCTGGTATCCATGGTAACACATTAACAGCGCACGGTCGTCACTAAGGTGCCACTGACATGAACACACACATGCATTAACGCCCACACACATACA